TGGCAGGAGGAACTGCACGGGGAGGGAAGTGTCTGAGATGGATCCCAACTTTCCCATCGTCGCCCCAGCACTGGGGGAAGGGGCCCTGGTCTGCAGAGAAGTTTCCCAGATGCTGCTCTTGGCAGGCAGGGGAGAGGCAGCGCCTCATGTCGTCCGTCCGTGGGCTCGGAGCCCACTTTCAGCTTCAGGGAGGGGGAGGGGAGGTTCCCGGTGGAGTCCAGCCTCTGCCACGTCCGCACCAAATGCAGTCTTGGCCATTCAGGCCCGGGAGGGGTGGGCTCTCTCTTGCAGCCCAGGGAGGCGTGCACAATTAGGAGACAGCAGAACGCCAAAGAGGCCCATTTCTCAGCAAGCCCCACCCACACCAGCACAATCATAACAGCTGACACGTGTAGAACATGCCAGTTACTGTCCTAATCGCTTTACAAATATTGAGTCATCATCGATAGCCCAGGGCTGCTCCTTCAACTAGGGAAAGGACGGACAAAGCCCAGCACATCCTCAGAACGGTAGACCACTCAGCAATCAGAAAGGCGCTTGTGATATTAGCAGCGCGAGTGGACCTCAAGTTCAAAAGAAAACCAAATGCAAAAAGCTACATACTGGCCCAGCGCTGTGGCTCGTGTCTGTAATAATCCCAGTGCTTTGAGAGGCTGAGGTGGGAGGATCGCTTGAAGCTGGGAGTTTGAGACCAACCTGGGCAATGTAGGAAGACCCTCCGTATGTCCAAAAAAATTTCAAAATTAGCCAGGTATGCCGGTACCCACCTGCAGGCCCAGCTACTCTGGAGGCTGAGGTGGGAGAATCCCTTGAAGTCAGGAGTTTGAGGTTATAGCGAGCTGTGATGGAGCCGCTGCACTCCAGCGTTGACAACAGAGTGACACTGTGTCTCTAAAAAGGAAAAAAAAAGTGACATACCGTGCGGATTCCATTTCCGTGACCTTCTAGAAAAGGCAAATCTGTAGGGACGGTGAATAGATCAGTGGTTGCCAGGACCAGGGGGCTAAATGGAAAAGTTAACCCCAAAAGGGCATGAAAGAATTTTTTCAGCGATGGGACCAGCCTATAATCTTGATTGTGATTTTGGTTCCATGACTATATGTTTGTCAAAACTTGCACAACTGTACCCTAAAAAGGGAAGACTTCATTGTACCTGAATTGTATCTAGAAAATACCAGTAACTTTTTTTTAAAAAACCCTCATAACAACTTTACATCCATTACATCTATTTTCCTAATCAGGAATATAGAAGTATCTCGAACAGAGGAGATTTAATACGGGAGTTGGTTACACGGATGAGAAAACCAAAGGGGAAAGAGAGATTGTTTAAAAATTAACAAAGCTGGCCACAGTGACCTGCACTTGTAGTCGCAGCTACTCAGGAAGCTGAGGTGGGAGGATTGCTTGAGCCCAGGAGTTTGAGACCAACCTGGACAACACAGTGAGACCCCATTCCTAAAAATCAAAAATAAAATAAAATAAATAAAAAAATAAAGGATATGGCAGACCATGTATAAAAATGTTTCTTAAATAAAAATTAGGGTATAGGGAAAAACTATGTCTGGTGGGAAATGCTGCCAGAGGTAGATGGGGAACAGACCTTGGATTCTCCCATCCTCTTGTCCAAAAATCTACTCCCAGTGCCTCGCATTGGCTAAATCTGCCCAAAAGCCAGTAGGTAAGGGACATGTCCTGTGCAGGGGTGAGTCCCTAGCCATGCAGGGAAGGCAGGGCAGGGAGTGGATGACATCAGGGTACAGACTCAAGCCTGGCACACGGTGTGTGAGGTAGAGGCAGTTATACCCCATTTTCCAGAGGAGGAAACTGAGGCCCAGAGAGCCGATGTGACCTGCCCAGGCATTCAAGCTCTGAGGGACATCTGACTGTCTCCCAACACCTGCTGGAGGGCTGCTTCTGTGCCTTTTTCCTGCCCCCTCCAACCCGCTTTGTGGTTGCTCAGGGAACCGAAGGGAATAAAAATGTCCATGCAAATCAGCACCATCCCTGGGGGAGGGGGGAGGCCCTCAGTGGGCGCCTCCTCCCCCCACCCCCACCCTACCGCCAGCGCAGGCGTTGGCGGTTACCCACAAACTGAGCTGAAAACAAACACGCAGCAGATGTCTGGGCAGTTGGTGGGGGAGGGACGTGTTAGGTGTCATCCCCTAGTGCGCTAGACCAACCCCCACCGGAACTGCACCTGGCACCGTCCCTGCACTGCCTGTCCCAGGGCTGCCCCCCAATATTCCAGCCCTGACCCCTGGCCTTTGTGAAAACCCCCACGCCGTGATGTAGGGGGAAGAGCCAGATGTTGGGGGGCCATCTAGCATCCGATGTGTGCCCCTAAATTCCTGTGATACCCATGGCCCACAAAGACCCCCTCTGGGCTGCAAGGCTGACACAGGTCCCGCACTCCCAGGGCCAGAGGTCACCTGCAATTGAACCTTTGATCCGCAGGAGAGGGCTGGTTGCATCGACCTTTGACCTCTACCCAGGCTTGGCTCAAATTTTGAACCTCTCATTGTGGAGGTTTTGAGGTCATTACTTCCTTTGTATTAGACTCATAATCAACATGCCAGTGAGGGTGCCCTGTGCCAACTGGGGTACGGAGGGAAGGAGACTTTACATGCAGTGTCACCGGAGAAGGTAACATTTTGGTAAAGACCTGAAGGAAGTGATGGAGCGGGACATACAGATATTTGGGGGAAAGTGATCCAGGAAGCAGGAACAGCCAGTGCAAGGGCCCTGAGGCTGGAATGTGATCAGTGGATTCCGGGGAGGAAGCCGGTTTAGCTGAAACCACAGAGTCACCGCAGCGGAGGATGGGAGGAGGGTCTGGGCAGGTCCCGCAAGGCCTTGTGGGCTGTGGGAGGACTTTGGCTTTGGATCTAAGTGAAATGGAAGACACTGAGGAGTTCTGAGCAGAGGAGGGACGTGACCTGACTCAGGTGTTTACACAGCCCTGTAGGGGAGGGTTTGTGTGTGTGTCACTTACAGATTAGGAGGCCACAGCTCTGCAAGAGCTCAGGGCTTGCCCAAGGACACCCAGCCAATTAGTGGCACCCCCTGGATTCAAACCACTATCTATGCAACTCCAGTGCCATTGGGTAAATAATCATTTATGGGCACCTTATGTGCTCAGTGACAGTAAGGGGACAGATACCTCGAGACCCAGGAAATAAAAGGAGATCTTTCTTTATTCTTAGTAATACCTCCATGACAAAATGATGAGTGAAGGAATCCATTCTGGAAACATTTATTGAGCACCTACTGTGATCCAGGTACCATACGGAATGCTCAGGCGACATCAGGGAACAAGACCATTCCAGCCTTGGGGGAGTTTATACTCTAATGGGAGAAACAGACAAAAAGCATTACCAAAAAAACCCCAAAACCAAAAACCAAAACACCTCAGGAAATTATAGAGGATGTTAGGACATAAATATTAATGGAAAAAAATTGGCCATGTGTGATGGTGCACGCCTGTGATCCCAGCACTTTGAGAGGTCAAGGCGGGAGGACCACTGGAGGCTAGGAGTTCAAAAAAAGCAACATAGCAAGACCTCATCTCTACAAAAAATACAAATAAATAAAATAAAATAGCAATCTCCACCCTTGGCCCTTGATGGTGTCTCTCTCTGTCACCCAGATTGGCGTGCAGTGATACATAGAACGCTGCAGCCTTGAACTTCTGGGGTCAAGCAATCTTCCCACCTCATGCTCCCAGGCAGCTGGGACTACAGCTGTGCACCACTGAGCCCAGCAGAAACTGCTATTTTATTTTATTATTTTTAAAATTTTTATTTCAGAGTATTATGGGGCTTCAAACATGTTGGTTACATAAATTGCTTTTGTACAGTTTGAGTCAAAGTTATAGGCTGGGCGTGGTGGCTCACGCCTGTAAATCCTAGCACTCTGGGAGGTCGATGCAGGAGGATTGTTTGAGCTCAGGAGTTTGAGACCAGCCGGAGCAAGAGCTGGCTTGTCTCTACTAAAAAAAAATAGAAAGAAATTAGCTGGACAACTAAAACAAATATATATATATATATATATAATTAGCCAGGCATAGTGGCTTGTGCCTGTAGTCCCAGCTACTACTTAGGAGGCTGAGGCAGGAGGATCTCTTGAGCTCAGGAACTGGAGGCTGCAGTGAGCTATGACACCACTGTGTACTCCCGCCTGGCAACCTGGGCAGCAGAGGGAGACCCTGTCTCAAAAACAAAAAGAAAGAAAGAAAAGGCTGCTGCGGGCTTGTGGCGCCCCCTGGAGGTAGAGATGGGAGTTTAATAATGAGCGTTTGGATTTCTGGGGTTCGCAGGACCAGGGGGGCAACACAGGATCTGTGGACTCCCCACTTTGCTCCGTCCTTGGGGAGCCCTGGAAGGCATGAGAGGCGACAGGACCCTGGCCTAGGGGAAGGAGGACACACAGACCTAACCGGAAGGGTTTCAGGACGACATAGCCCTACCCTGGGGATCTAAGCGGGCAGGCGCGGTCCGCCAGGCCCAACCCTGAGGGCTCTCTGCGGGCGATAAGGCCCGGCCTTCAAACAAACCAAACCAGGGCATTGGAAGCACAAAATCCACCTCCGCACGTCTCTCGGGCCCAATGTGGGCGTGACCGGCCTGGTGGGCGTGACTGACATCAAAAGCTTAGCGGTCATTGGCAGCATTCCCTTCCGTGCCCGCCTCAGAACCGCCCAGCCATGGGCGGGCCATTCTTCCAGATTTAACGTTCATTGGCTGAGTAGAGCCTGGGTGCTCTCATTGGCAGGATTCTTGCGCCCGCTCGTTGGGGGCGGGACCTAAGGGGGCGAGGCCTATGGGCAATGGGGCTTCTTGCTGTGCGGTCTCGCGTCCCCAAGTGTCGCAGAGGATCCTTAAGCTACGAGCGAAAACTGGGGTCTGGGGGTTAGTTCTCAAGGAGAAGTGGGGACACTCTGGACCAGGCCTCTCCGTCCTCGCTCTTGTACACCCCGCTTTCCAGCGCGGAATCCGAGCAGGGGGAGTGGGACGGCGTCGCGCGTGTGACGTCATCTGGAAGCGCCGCGCGCGGCTGCCGGAGCCGTGACCTCCCGTGGCGAGGGAGGCTACACTGCGATGCTGCGGCTAGTCCGGGCCGGGGCGCGGGCCTGGCTTCGGCCCACGGGCTGCCGGGTGAGGCGAGGGACTGGAGGCGGGGTCGCAGGAGGAATGTTGGGAGCCCAGGGTCGCCTCTCACTTTGGCCCGCACCTTACAGGGCCTGACCTCGCTGGCGGATGAGGCGGCGCGGCCGGCGGACAATCCAGAGCCGGTGGCGGTGGCGAGCGCGGGTGAGGCTACTGGGGTCACCTTAGTAGGGACGGCGAGTGGGAAGCCCTAACCCTTAACCTTGACGCCTGTCCTCCCCCAGCCGCTCCAGGTCTTCAGGCGCCCGTGCTACGCAAGTGCGAGCGCCCCATACCCGCTCATCTGAGCCCGGTGCAGGCCTGGATCGAGTCCCTGCAGGGCTACGAGCAGGAGCGCGTGGGTCTGGCCGACCTGCATCCCGACGTTTTCGCCACCGCGCCCAGGTATAAGTGGGGGCTGTAATGGTGAACTGGGTGGCAGGAAGAAGAGAAGCGGGAATTCAGGATCTTTGCAAAAATGTGGAATTTCTAGAGTCTCAGTTTCTCCACCTGTCAAGGGGGGAGGTGATGCTTTTCCCTGCTGCAGACCTGTTGAAGATGAAGAGTGAGAAGTAACATCCTTCAGGGATTAAGGGCACAAAGCTCTAGAGCTGACAGGGGTCAAATCCTGCCTTCCTCTCTTGTGTCGTCTTAGTGTCCCCATCCTGTCAAACCTCAGGAGGTTGATGTGATGATTAAATGACTTAATTCTGGCACACGATGGTTCTTTAGGAATGTTGGGTATCATTACTGTTAACTGATTTTTGCTAAAGACTGGGTGAGGTGACTCATGCCTGTAATCCCAGCACTTTGGGAGGCAGAGATGGGAGGATTGCTTGAGGCTAGGAAGGGGTTCAAGACCAGCCTGAGCAACTTAGCGAGACCTCGTCTCAATAGAAATTTAAAAATTAGCCAGGCGTGGTGGTGTGTCCCAGCTACCTGGGAGACTAAGAGGGGAGGATTGCTTGAGGGCAGGAGTTTGAGAAAGTTACAGTAGTAGGAAAGAAGTAATGGTAGAAAAGGAGGAGGAAGGGGCAGCCCTTTCTTTAGAAGGGTGCTCCTCTCAGAGATAGTATTTGAGCTGACACCTGTAGGCTGAGAAGGAACCAGCCAGGGGAAAAGTGTTGCAGGCAGAGGGAACAGCAAGTGCAAAGGCCCTGAGGCAAGACTCCATCTTGCAGAGAGGCCAGCTTGCCTGGAAGTGGTGTGAGATGGGGTCAGAGAGGGGCAAGGATAGATCACACAGGGCCCTGGAGGTCAGAGGCAGGCAGCTGCGTTTTCTGATGGTGGGATAGGGACCCATGGGAGGGTTTGAACCCAGTGGGTTTCTCATGTCCCCTTCCTCCCCAACAGGCTGGACATCCTGCACCAGGTGGCCATCTGGCAGAAGAATTTCAAGAGAATCGTGAGTGCCCGAGTGGAACACGTGGGTGGGGAGGAGGCAGAGGAAGCCCAGTGGTGTGTTTTCGGTGGATTGCTCAGCTCGGGCCTCATCTTCTCTCTCCTGAACCATCCACTGATAAGTGGGCAATTTTCAGTTATTATCTGAATCCTCCCAAATCAACGACTCATGGCTGTAAATGTGTGATTATGGGCAGTCATCCCAGAGAAAGGGACATTTAACCTCAAGTCTAGAGTAGAAGCTAACCAGTTAAAAGACAAGACATGGTGGGGCCAGCCACAGTGGCTCATGCCTGTAATCCTAGCACTATGGGAGGTCGAGGCGGGAGGATCGCTGGAGGTCAGGAGTTTGAGACCAGCCTGAGCAAGAGCCAGACTCCATCTCTACTAAAAAAAAAGAAAAGAAAAGAAAATATCCAGAGCATGGTGGCGCACGCCTGTAGTCTCAGCCACTCAGGAGGCTGAGGCAGGAGGATCGCTTGAGCCCAGGAGTTTGAGGTTGCGGTGAGCTATGATTGTATCTCTGCACTCCAGCCTGGGCAACAAAGAGGAGAATCTGTCTCTTAAAACAAACCAAGAATTTGTCTAAAATCTACTGAACACCCCCTGTGTCCTGGCAACAGTGCACCTGCCTTAGGGAAGGGGACCGGTTCCCCCACCCTCCCTGACTGCCCGCAAATGCTCTGTTCTTGCCCCGAGAGAGCTGCCTCTCACGGTGCCTCCTGCCGGGCTCTCCGGTGACAGGACTGATCTGCCCAGCTCTTGGCTGGATTCCTGGGCCTGGCGCCTTTGAGCTGCAGCGACACCTGTCTTGCAAACCTGACCCCGTCCTCCCTTTGTGCCTGCAGAGCTATGCCAAGACCAAGACTCGGGCCGAGGTGCGGGGCGGTGGCCGGAAGCCCTGGCCACAGAAGGGCAGCGGGCGGGCCCGGCATGGCAGCATCCGCTCCCCGATCTGGCGAGGGGGTGAGTAGGGGGCTGATGGGTGAGGGTGGTGCCTGGGGTGGGCGATTTTTAACACACAACTGCCCACATCTGGTGTGGTATCGTGTCAGCCCTGTTCCTCCTACCTCACCTTCAGAGTTCTGGGTCATGCCTCCTCCAGGAAGCCCTCCTTGACTTCCCCTGGGCACTACCAACCCTCCACAGTCCGTCGGGCCACCCTGATTCCTGTTCTGCTTTGTGCTCGGGCCGCCCTGATTCCTGTTCTGCTTTGTGCGGTCTGTGCTGTCACTCCCGGTGTCCTGAGATGGGAACCATCTGATCTCAGGGTTTGCCAGCTGTGGAAACTGAGGCCCGGAGAGGCGAAGTCACTCACGGGTCCCAGGCTGTCCCTGATCCACACACAACACACCTGCTCACACACACACCCCTGTCCCCACAGGAGGCGTCGCCCATGGCCCCCGGGGCCCCACGAGTTACTACTACATGCTGCCCATGAAGCAGCGGGCGCAGGGCCTCAAGGTGGCACTGACCGTCAAGCTGGCCCAGGTAGAGCCCGGGCGGCTGCTGGGGGAGGGACAGGCGCTCTGGACCCAGGGCTCAGATGGCCCCTTCTCCCACCAGGATGACCTGCACATCGTGGACTCCCTGGAGCTGCCGACCGGGGACCCCCAGTACCTGACCGAGCTGGCCCGCTACCGCCGCTGGGGGGACTCCGTGCTCCTCGTGGACTTGTGAGGGGCGGGGTGGGGCGGGGCGGGGCTGGGGCAGGGCAGCCCGAGCTCGGCCCTCAGCAGGGCTCACCTCCCGGCCTCTCTCACAGAGAGTATGAGGAGATGCCACAGAACATCGTGGAGGCCACCTCCAGGCTCAAGACCTTCAACCTGATCCCGGCTGTGGGTGAGTGAAGGGCCCAGCGCACCTGCCCGGCCCCCGGAGCGTGCAAGTGCGGCCCTGCTGTTAGAATCACAGTCCTTGCTGGCTGGTGGCTCAGGCCTGTACTCCTGGCAACTCTGGGAGGCTGAGGTGGGAGGATCGCTTGAGCCCATGAGTTTGAGGTTGCTGTGAGCTATGATGTCACCACTGCACTGTAGCCTGGCCAACAGAGAAAGACCCTGTCTCAAAAACAAACAAACAAAAAAAAACAAAGAAAACAATCTTGCCTCTGCCACTTGGGCATTGAGTGGTCTTGGGCAGCCACCACGCTCCCCCAGGCTGACCCTCAGCCTGCCTAGAACAATAACCTCTTTTAAAAGCTCTGAGGTGCCCTCTGGCAAAGCCACAGTCCACTCCCCCTACAGCCACCAGAGGGCGCGTGTGAGCACCTGAGTCAGGGCCTGCCCCTCCGCCCACAGCCCTCCATGGTGCCCGCCTCCCTCCCTCCCTGCAGCACCCCAGGCCCTGCACGCCCTGCCCCGGCCCCTCCTTACTCTCCCCTCACCTGCCCCGCGTCCCTCCCACTGGATGGAGAGCTGGGAGTCACAGCCAAGTGCTGGTGGCCCTTGCTCAGTAGCTGATGAGCTGAGGACAGTTCCCAGGCCAGGGACTGGGCCCAGGCCTCCGGCTCAGTAACTGCGGCTAGGCCACGGTGTCGGTGTCGTCTCTGGGACAGGCAGGGTGCGCCCCTGCGAGGGAGAGGGGTTCCATGGGGGGAGGGGCAGCCCCATCCTGACTGTCCCCGCCCCCCCCAGGCCTGAACGTGCACAGCATGCTCAAGCACCAGACCCTGGTCCTCACGCTGCCCACTGTCGCCCTCCTGGAGGACAAGCTGCTCTGGCAGGACTCGCGCTACACGGCCCTCTACCCCTTCCGCCTGCCCTACCGCGACTTTCCCTGACGGCGCCCTCGCCTCTGCCCGCACCCCTGGGAGCCTCCTGCCCACCCTGCGAGGGGGGAGGGCGGCGCTGCCCGCACCCCCATCCCAGTGAGGAAGCGGAGGCCACAGCCAGGCAGACGTCACTGCCAGAACCCAAGCACCTGCCTCAACTCTCTCTTTTTTTTTTAAATAAATTTTATTTTTTAATCAAGGAGTCGGGATAGAGAAGCGCTTGTTGTCATTTTTCATTATTCCATTTGGCATGTTGGGTGCCTTCCCTGGTCTGGGCACTGCTGAGCTCCTCTGTCTTCCCAAGGGGCCCACTCCTGTCATCCCGGCGCTCTGGGAGGCTGAGACGGGAGGATCGCTTGAGGTCAGGAGTTCGAGACCAGCCTGAGCAAGAGCGATACCTCGATGATGCCACTACTCTCTCACCAGGGTGACAGAACAAGACTGTGTCTCTAGAAAAATAAAAAATAAAAGCAACCTCAGGGCCAGGAGTTCAAGACCAGCCTGGGCAGCATAGTGAGACCCCATATCTACAAGAAATAAGAAAATTAGCCAGGTGTGGTGGCTTATACCTGTAGTCCCAGCTACTCAGGAGGCTGAGGCAGGAGGATCGCCTCAGCCCAGGAGTTCAAGGTTGCAGTGAGCTGCGGTTGTGTCACTGCACTCACTGGGCAGTAGAGCCAGACCCTGTCTCTAAAAACAAACAGAGAAAAACCACTTCAGTGGTGTTTATGGAAATTTCAAGAATCCACTTACCCCTGGTGTGTGTCAGACTTGGAGCTCGTGAAGTTATGTGGGTGTTCACAGTCCCCGTCCTGAGTGCGGCCACCTCTTGTCATCCCTGAGTCAGGGCCCACAGTCTAATATGTTAGGGCCCTTCAGTCCAAGAGTGTGGGCGTCATTGCACAAGTAGATGTCATGTACAAACGAGTTTTCATCAACCGTTTCCCCTAAGCACAAAGTCAGAAAAGCAAACATCTCGCAATAAATGAGCAGGTAAATACATTCTTAAAAACACCAAGTCAGTATCCCAATTCTTGAGTCTCCTAAAGTCAGCCAGAACTGCCCCCACGGAGTGCGGTTCCAGGCAAGCGCCTGTCTGCTGGGCCACCACAGGCTGAAAGCATCTCTGGAATGCCTCTCGGGGTTGCCTTCAGGACACTTTTTGTTTTTGTTTTCCTTTTGGGTGTGTGTGTGTGTTCAGTTTCCTTTTTTTTTGAGACGAGTCTCACTCTGTCAACCCTGGGTAGACTGCTATGGCATCATCGTAGCTCACAGCAACCTCAAACTCCTGAGCTCAAGCGATCCTCCTGCTTCAGCCTCCCGAGTAGCTGGGACTACAGGTGCGTTCCACTACACCTGGCTAAATTTTCTTTTTTTTTTGAGACGGAGTCTTGCTTTGTTGCCCAAGCTAGAGAGTGAGTGCCGTGGCGTCAGCCTAGCTAGCAACCTCCAACTCCTGGGCTCAAGCGATCCTCCTGCCTCAGCCTCCCAAGTAGCTGGGACTACAGGCACGCGCCACCATTCCTGGCTAATTTTTTCTATATATATTATTTGGCCAATTAATTTCTATTTATGATAGAGACAGGGGTCTCACTCTTGCTCAGGCTGGTTTCGAACTCCTGACCTCGAGCAACCCGCCTGCCTCGGCCTCCCAGAGTGCTAGGATTACAGACATGAGCCATTGCGCCCGGCCCTAATTTTTCTATATTTAGTAGAGACGGGGTCTCGCTGTTGCTCAGGCTGGTCTCAAACTCCTGAGTTCAAGCGATCCTCCAGCCTCAGCCTCCCAAGTACCTAGGACCACAGGTGTGCGCCAACATGCCTTGCCCTTAACAGCACCGGATTTGACTCAGTGAAACAGAAAAAGCTGTTGGAACCAGTTAAAGGGGTACCAAGGCTGGGCAGGAAATGCCACCTCTCAGCTGTGCCTCTTGCCACCCCGTGGGGACACCAAGACCTAGAGTAGGAACCAACTGGATAGTTGTAGCTAGAAGAACAAATGAGGTTCAGTCTACATCACAGCGTGGAGACTAACTGCTGCCCATATTTCAAAAGAAATGGGTCACAACCTGTTCCCCCGCAGCGAAATCCCTCAGCCAGATCCAGGGTGGAAAAGGGCATCAGAAAAAATCATACTCTGTCTACAGTGCGCTTTAAAATAATTGGGGCAGGCGGGGCGCGGTGGCTCAGGCCTGTAATCCTAGCTCTCTGGGAGGCCGAGGCAGGTGGATCGTTTGAGCTCAGGAGTTCAAACCACCCTGAGCAAGAGTGAGACCCTGTCTCTACTATAAATAGAAAGAAATTAATTGGCCAACTAATATATATAGAAAAAATTAGCCGGGCATGGTGGCGCATGCCTGTAGTCCCAGCTACTCGGGAGGCTGAGGCAGGAGGATCGCTCGAGCCCAGGAGTTTGAGGTTGCTGTGAGCTAGGCTGACGCCATGGCACTCACTCTAGCCTGGTCAACAAAGCAAGACTCTGTCTCAAAAACAAAACAATAATAATAATAATTGGGGCAGGCGGGTGCACCTGTAGTCCCAGTGACTTGAGAGACTGAGGCAGGAGGATCGTTTGAGCCCAGGGATTTGAGACTGCAGTGAGATATGATGCCATTGCACTCTAGCCTGGGCGACAGAGCAAGACCCCATCTCTGAATGAATGAATGAATTTATAAAATCCAAGATGAAAGCGTGGGCAGGGCTGGTTCCATCTGAGGGCTCCGAGGGAGGACTTGTTTCCGGTCTCTCTTCCTAGCTTCTTGTGGTTTGCTGACAGTCTGTGGTGTTCCTTGGCTTGTAGAAACATCACCCCAATCTCTGCCTTCATCTTCACATGGCGTTGTCCCTGTGTGTATGTGTGTCTGTCTCTGTGTCCAAATTTGCCCTTTTTATCCAGACACCAATCTATGTTGGGTGAGGGTCCACCTGACCTGGCCTCATCTTTTTTTTTTTTTTTCGAGACAGGGTCTTGCTGTGTTGCCCCGGCTAGAGAGCAGTGGCACAATCGTAGCTCACTGCAACCTCCAACTCCTGGGCTCAAGCCATCCTCCTTTCTCAGCCTCCCGAGTAGCTGGGACTATTGGCATGCGCCACCATGCTCAGCTATTTTTTTTTTATGTTTTGTAGAAATGGGGTCTCACTATGTTGCCCAGGCTGCTCTCAAGCTCCTGGCTTCAAGCAATCCTCCCATCTCAGCCTCCCAAAATGCTGGGATTACAGGCCTGAGCCACCTCGATCTGCCACAAAGTCGCGTTTTGATCAAAATAGGAACATCCTGAATTTTTTTGCTCTATACCCGAGCGCTGTTAGAAGGAATTGTGGTCCTGGCATAAATAAGGTCCATGGAAACTTCTTGTGCACCCTTTGAGATATGCGATATCATCCCATTCTACAGCTCAGGCCATTAAGGCACAACCAGGGGAGCGTGGCACCGAGCAACGGGCTCACTGCTCCATGCACGTAGACGCCAGTACCGTGGCACCTGCTTTTGAGAAAAGAAAAACTTCATCGCGAGTCAGCTGACAAGGAGAGAGGGGCAACTCTCAAACCCGTCTCCCGGGTCTGGGGCTGGGTCAGGCTCTTGTGTTTCTAACTAGCCGCAAATTCATGCCAATGTGTTCACGGTTAGGAGGTGGCAGCTTCCTTCCATTGCGCATGCCCCGGCTACATGACGTGCATTTCTGTCCCTGTGTCATCTGTAACAGCTTAAGCAGTGGCTAACCAGTTTCAGCTGGCCCCGCCGTGGCACGTGGCTTGCTCAAGGCCACGCCTTGTAGGGGATGCTCTCAGCGATCCGATCTGGCCGTGTGCGCCCTTTGCTGCCTACTGCTTCGGGGTCCTGCTGGAATTGCCAGCTGGAAGGTCAGAAATGCTGGGAAACCACGACGAGCTCCCCCTGCACAGCCACTGGGTTGGTAATAATAATGATAATAAAAGGAAAATGTCGGCAAGGATGCAGAAAAATAGGAACCGTTGGACCTTTGTCCATTGCTGATGGGAATGTGAAACACGGTCTGGCAGGTCCTCAAAAAGTTAAACATAAAATTACCGCGTGACCCAGCACTTGCACTCCTAGGTATACGCCCCCAAGAATCGAAAACATGTTTACCCAAAAACTTGTACGTGAATGTTCACAGCAGGATGATTCATAGTACCCAAGAAGTGTGGCTCACACCTGTGATCCTAGCCCTGTGGGAGGCCAAGGGGAGAGGATCGCTTGAGGCCAAGAGTTTGAGACCAGCCTGAGCAAGAGCGAGACCTCATCTCTACAAAAAATAGAAAAGTTAGCCAGGTGTGGTGGCTCACGCCTGTAATCCCAGCACTTTGGGAGGTCAAGGTGGGAGGATTGCAGGAGACCAGGAGTTTGAGACCAGGCTGGACCACATAGTGAGACCCTGTCTCTAAAAAAAAAACCCAAATGCACAGCCCTCACCCAATACAGGACAGGTTTGATGTAGAGTGTAAGGATCTTCCACAGCTCTGCAGTGGGACTGAGCCCCAGCTGTCCCCAAAGGGGCAACTCACTGAGGCTCACCTCTCCTGGCTGCCTCGTCTTGCCTTCCTTGGCTACCCACTGCCCCACCAAGCCACTGTCATCACCTGCACTCACACCCTTGTCTCAGCGTCTGCTTTGGGGGGAACTTAAACTAAAACAGTTGGCAAATAATACAGCCTGGATGGGAACCCCAGCCTGGACGGAGTTCTGGGGGCTTTTGGTAAAAGCGGTGGGAAGAGAATTCTAGGCTGGAGGAACAGCATGTGCAGAATGCTCAGAGACAAGGCAAGTTCATTCATTCCACAAATAATGTGTTGACCACGCCTACCAGGGCCGGATATCGATTCAGGGGCTGGGGCTGGCAGGCTCCCTGGTCTTTTGGAGCTCACAGAAATGGAGGTGACAGCCATTCAAATACATCAAAAGAATTTTCATTGCCATTCAGAGTTTCCCTACGAAAAAAGACAGAAAAAAAAAGAATTTTCAGCGAGCGATGAGTTCAGTAAGTGCAAGTGACAGTTCAGTAGGGCAAGTGACAGGGAGTGACCAGGGTGTGGCTTGGGATGGAGCGAGAAGGTGTCCATTTAAGTGGAGACTCAGGCCACGAGAAAGGAGGAGCCGGCCCTGTCGGGGATGTGGGGAACAGCATTCCAGGCTGAGGGAACTGCAAGGCGGCCACGCCGGAGCTCAGAGTGTGAGAAAGAGGGCGCAGTGCCGTGGAGTGGGGCTTGGCTGCTTGTGCCTTGAGTCTGTACCCTCTGGTGTGCAGCGGGCCCAATCCTTGGCCTGCCCGAGACTGCCTGGCACCCGAGAGGAAGCCCTGCCCTTCCTGGAGACTGCAGCAAAGCGCTGGGGAGCGTCTGCTTCCCTTCCACGGTGGAAGACTGGGAAGTGGGTGTCCCCGTGCCAACCTTTCCATCCCATCCCATCTGCATCTCAGGAAACAGCCCTCCCTCCTCCCCGGCTCAGCCCAGACCAAGGAGTCGGCCCTCCTGTCCCAGCATGTCTAGTTGGCCCTGCCTCCAAAACCGATGCCAAATTCGAGGGCTTCTCCAAGGCCACTACCAAGTCCAGTCCCATCATTGCTCACCTGGACTGGAGCAGTCACCTCCTCCCCCTCTCCTGGCTGCAGCTCCTGCACCTGTGAACCCCTGATCCCATCAGCTCAGCTCCCTCCATGGCTCTGGGCTCACTGGGAGTAAAAGCCAAAGTCCTCCCCAGGTGACAAGCACCTGCAGAGTCTGCTCAGTCACCTCCCTGCCCTTCTGTCCTCCAATTCTCTCCTTCGATCACCTGCTCCGGCCACACCCGCCCCCTGGCAGTTCCTACCTCAGGGTCTTTGCACTTTCTTGGTGCTCTCTGCTTGGTACATCCTCATCTCCTTCTGGTCTTTCCAGAATACTGTATTTTAAAGGGTTATTGGGCTAGGCATGATGATTCACACCTGTAATCCCAGCACTTTGGGAGGCCGAGGTGGGAGGATCCTTGAGGCCAGGAATTCAAGACCAGCCTGGGCAGCATTTCGAGACCCCGTCTCTATAAAAAGGTTTTTTTTTTTTTTGAGACAGAGTCTCGCTTTGTTGCCCAGGCTAGAGTGAGTGCCGTGGCGTCAGCCTAGCTCACAGCAACCTCAAACTCCTGGGCTCAAGCGATCCTCCTGCCTCAGCCTCCCGAGTAGCTGGACTACAGGCATGCGCCACCATGCCCGGCCAATTTTTTCTATGTATATTAGTTGGCCAATTAATTCCTTTCTATTGATAGTAGTGACAGGGTCTTGCTCTTGCTCAGGCTGGTTTCGAACTCCTGACCCCGAGCAATCCACCAGCCTCATGCCTCAGCCTCTCAAGTAGCTGGGACTACAGGCATGCGCCACCATGCCCGGCTAATTTTTTCTATATATATTAGTTGGCCAATTAATTTCTTTCTATTGATAGTAGTGACAGGGTCTCGCTCTTGCTCAAGCTGGTTTCGAACTCCTGACCCTGAGCAATCCACCAGCCTCGGCCTCCCAGAGTGCTAGGATGACAGGCATGAGCCACCGCGCCCGTCCATAGTAGGTGCTTAATAAATAGGGCGCCTGGCGTTGAGAAAAGCACGTTTTCCGTGCGTGCGTGTGGCTGCAGGTGGCACTGTGGCCGCGCGGGGGAGCTCGCCGCCCGCGCACCTCGGGCCGGAGCCGGCGACGGGGCAGACCCGCTGGAGAAAAGTCGCCCGAAATAACCGGGCGGGACATCCCCGTTCCACCGTGTGATTTTTGCCCGGGCCGTTCCGGGGCGGGAATTCAGTCCTCCAGCCACCCCCCACCGAGAAAAAGATCCCCGTGGAAATTCCTTGGAAATGACCAGGGCGGGGGTGGGGGACGCGTTTGCACGGCGGGAGGAAGGGCCCGCGCGACCCCGGGACCCTTCCTGTCCCCTTCTGGGGCGCGACCTGTCCGGCCGCTCCGAGGTCTCCATGGCGACGCCAAACGCGCCCCATAACAGGAAGCGTTAGGCGGCGCGGCTCGGTGCTCCGCGTCCCCAGCGTCAGCGTGGAGGGGACGACGGATCTTGGGGTCACACGCGCAGACGGTGGCCGGACCCCCGCACGCATCCGGTGCAGGCCCCCGGAGTCCGAATTTCGGGCGCCGCGCGCGGAGGGCAGGGGTTCGAGCGCCCAGTCTCCCCGTCCTCGTCGAGGTCTGAGCGGCTGCCTCAGTTTCCCCGCAGAGCCTGAGGCACCAGCAGAGGAGGCTCGGCGCGTCAGGCCCGCGTGGCTTCCTTCCTTTTTCTGGGAGCTGTAAAGACGCCCCCCGCCGCCGCGGCCAAAAGGGGAAGCGGGGAGACTGCGGGGGTGGGCGCACCCACGGGTGGCAGGGGGAGGGACGCCGGCTCCCCGGACGTGATGGCCGCGCGCCCTCGCTCCCACGGCTCCCGGGCGGGCGCGCGCCGAGGAGGTGCCCGGGCCTGTTCCCGCGCTTCTCGGGAAATCTGTGTCAGCTGGGCGGGGACGTGCCCCTCGCAGGCAGCCCCCAAGCGACGGGCTCGTCCCCTTGATTCAAGAGGCCCGCGTGCGCTGGGGAGTGAAGAGTGAGAGCTTGAGTTCGGATCGCCGCTCGGCCCAGAGCCTCAGTTTACCACTCTGTGAAACGGGCACAACAACAGTCCCTCCTCGTCCAGGGTAGCGAGCAGTATTCAGTAAGGTGCTTATTGCAGTGTAAACAGCAGGTCAGGCTCAGCCCAGCCGAGGGACAGGACGCGACGGGGTCTGGGGCAGCCCCCGGGGTCGCCGTCCCGCTGCTGCGGCCACAGCCGCCCGGTGGCTTCAGCTGGGAAATTCCGGGGGCGCCCAAGTGGTGGGCGAAGGAGGCTGGCCGGCTCGGGCCAGGCACAGTTTGGTCCGGAAGGGCCCTCGCTCCGGAGGGGAAGGCTCGAGATTTCCGGGAAGGCGGCCCCGCCCCTCTGCCCCCCTGGCCGAAGAGTATAAAGGGCCGGGCGCGCTCCCCTGCGCCCCAGTCGCGCCGCGCACTTCTGCCTCCCGCCGCTGTCGCCTCGCCCGCTATGGCTCCCGGCGACGCCCTGCCCGCGCTCCTGGCCCTGCTCGGGGCTCTGCTCCCAGGTGAGTCTTGGGTGGCCGGTCGCCCTCGGGCCAGCTCCCCGACCCCGGCTGCGCCCCGGGGGGACCAGCTCCCGGGAGTGGCCGTTTAGGGGGAGGTGGGGCTGGAGCCAGCGATTGGAATTCAATCAACAGCCCCACAGCCGAGGGTTCAAATCCTCCACCTGTGGGCTCAGGTTATAGATCGCGCCTTCTTGAGCCTCGGTTTTCCCAGCTGTAAAATGGGGAACGTGACAGCGGCCACCAGGCCGCGATGCGTGTCCGGGGGCCAGCACAGCACCTGGCTCGGGGAGGCGGCCAGATGGCTTAGGGACTTGCCCGCCCTCCCTCTCACTGCCCTCCCCCCAGCCTAGTGGGCTCAAGGACACCCCGCCCCAAAGACATACTCTGTTCCTCATCCTCGCCCCTGGGGAAGTCCTGGGCCGCGTCTACTGGGGGAATTCCAGAGCTCACTTGCTGGGGCCAAGAGCTGAGGTGGCCCTGGCTCTCCCCTCCCCTCCCCCAAGGCCAGCCGGGCTAGGGAAGCGGGACAGAGGGTCACTAGCCGTGGTCAGTTTGGGGAAGCAGGACAGGGGAACTGACCCCTTGGTTACCAGCCCTACAAAGGTTTCTAATCCGGACTCCGCTGCTTTCTACCCGAGTTGTCACCCCTCTCCTGGCCTCACTGTTTCCCTCTGTGAAATGGGAATGATTCCAGAATCCGCCTTGGAGAATTTGCAGAGCCGACGTTCTCACACACCCCCACCCCAGATAGAACACCCCTGATAGAGCAAATCTGAGGACAGGGATCTTTGAGGGAAGGGGAGGAGACCTGAGCTCAGATAGACTTTTTTTTTTTCAGCTTTGGGGGCACCAGAGTCCGACGGATCTAATCAGAGCAAGCCCCTTCTTTCTTGCCTGTGGTTGTGTGCAAGGTGGCCACTTGCTGCCTGCCCTGTGCTCAGCTACTTGCATTAGCAGGAGGCAGGGTAACTATAGTCACCCACTTTACGGATGGGGAAGTTGAGGCCTAAAGAGGGAAAAGTACTTGTCCAAGGGAAAGAGGAGCCAGGATAATTCCTGGAGGGCTGCCCCCCTCCACCTGGCCTCTTGGAAGAGAGGAGGGCTCTGACTTCCTGTTTTTGTTTGTGTTTTGAGTGGGTTTTGTGTGTGTCCCAGGCTGGAGTGCTGTGGCATCATCACAGCTCACTGCAGCCTCAGCCTCCTGAGTAGCTGGCACTACTCAGGTGTGTGCCACCATGCCTGGCTAATTTTTAATTTAAAACAAACTCTTTGAAAACATTTTTGTAGAGATGGGGTCTTGCTATGTGGCCCAGGCTGGTCTGGAACTCCTGGCCTCAAGTGATCCTCCCGCCTTGGCCTCCCAAAGTGCCGGGATTGCAGGCATGAGCCACTAGCCCTGACCTGACTTCACATTCAAACTGACTCTGCTAAAAGTCCTTCCACGGGCTCCCTAGTGCCCTCAAACTAAAGAAAACACCTTTAGCTGGGACTACAGTGCCCAGGTGACCTTCCCGAACTCATTCCACCCTGCCCCAGGACCTTTGCACTTGCCGTTCCTTTTGCCCGGCATCCACTTCCCTTTCCTCCGGTTCGCCAGGCCTTTCTCGGCACTCAGATCTGCTGAGACACCACCCTGCCCCCAAGGCACTCTCCGTTCTATCACCCTGTTTCGTTGTCATCAGACCTCATATTAACATCAGTTCTTAATTATCTTGTTTGTTCATGAAATGTTTCCATCTCCCACACGGAAGGCAGAGAGTTTTGTCTTGTCTGAGCCTGTGTCCCCCGCCCCCAGCCCAGCCCGGGCACACTGCCCTGTCATGGTTGATGAACCCCGATTTGTAACGCCTGTCCCCTCCTCGCCTTTTTGTCCCAGGACCTGGAGGTGCCCAAACCTCCGTGTTCCCCACCGAGGCCACGCTGCCCCGAGGGGGCTCCGTGCAAATCAACTGCAGTTCCTCCTGTGACCAGCAGGCCTCCTTAGGCCTGGAGACTGACTTGGATAAAACAGAGGTGGCCCGTGGAAACAACTGGAAGGCCTACGAGCTGAGCAACGTGCGCAAAGACAGCAATCTGATATGCTTCTCAGTCTGCGGCGGCGAGCAGACCATGGCTGCGGCGTCCCTCACCGTCTACTGTGAGTGGCTGGGCCGGGGCTGGGGGGGCCCTGCAGGGCCAGCGCCCGCAGGCTTGTGGGGGGTCTTTGTCCCTTGGTGGTGGGGCCCCTGGAGGGGCTCACTGAAGAGCATGCGGGGACATCCTTGGAAGGTCCCGTTGTCACTGGGAAGTCCCTCAGCGAACCTCTGTGCATGCATTTAGAGCGTCCACAGAAATGTCGCACGTTTGAGAATGCCAGCTCTCGCCACCCCTTTCTTTAGACACATGACAAGGCCCTGGCAACGACACGTTAAAAACAGATACAGATTGGCCAGTCGCAGTGGCCCGCGCCTATGTTCCGAGGAGCCTGAGCTGGGAGGATGGCTTGAGTCCAAGAGTTCAAATCCAGCCTTGGGGGCAACATCGTGAGACCCCCCATCTTTATTTTATTTATTTATTTATTGGTGACAGAGTCTCACTCTGTTGCCCGGGCTAGAGTGCCGTGGCGTCAGCCTAGCTCACAGCAACCTCCAACTCCTGGGCTCAAGCGATCCTCCTGCCTCAGCCTCCCGAGTAGCTGGGACTACAGCGCCATCAGGCCCGGCTAATTTTCTTCTATATGTTTTTAGTTGGCCAATTAATTTCTTTCTATTTTTAGTAGAGACAAGGTCTCGCTCTTGCTCAGGCTGGTTTGGAACTCCTGACCTCGAGCAATCCTCCCGCTTCGGCCTCCCCCATCTTTATTTTTAAAAAATACATGCAAATTAAAACTAGCCCTGAGATGACTTTTTTTTTGCATATTGAGAACGATCTAAAGAATTGATAGCAGGTGTCTTGGCCAGGCTGAGGGGACTTGGGCAGTCCTGGGACCATGCTACACGTGGCCCTGTCCATGAGGGAAGAGGTGGGGGCCTGGGGTTATTCGCTGCAGCTGTGTTTGGTTTGGTTTTGTGCTTTGGAGAGAGGGTCTTGCTCTGTCGCCTGGTCACAAAGGCGGTGGCACGATCAGAGCTCACCGCAACCTTGAACTCCTGGGCTCAAGTGACCCTCCCACTGCAGCTTTGTTCGAAGGGCAAACGTTTGCAAACCACTCACATGTGGAGGGCCAGGGAGAGAAACCGAGGTTTGGCCATACAAGGACTAGTATGCAACTGCGCAAAGGAACGAGTGAGCTCCAAGGTGTACGATAAAGTTGCAAAGAAAGAAAGTTATGCCGAATATGTGCAGCATGCCACTCTCAAGTTAGGGAGTGGCAGGGGTGAAGGAGGGAGAGGCTATATTTATGCATAAAAGAGCCTTAAAAGGACATTCAAGAAATGACAATATTAATTGGCTGGGAGGAGAGAGGCTCCGGGGAGGGCAGAATTCTCTCTCTTGCGTCCTTTCCTACCTGAGGATTTTGAACAGTGAGAATGAGTTGCCAAGGCAAAAAAAAAAAAAAAAAATTAAATAAATATAATCCAAAGGAAAACGAAAGAAAAGAAAAAAACGAGAAAGAAAAACGGAAGCGAACTGGCCGAGTGGCTTTGGAATTAGCCTTGGGTTCCAAGTCCCAGCATGCCCCTTCCTAGCTGGGTGACCCGGGGGACATGGCTTCTTGCTCTCCTCTCCTGTCACGTGCAACGTCCTCAGGGGGTGTGATGATTCAGTGAGGCAGAAAGGACGACCCACTGTCAAGACGCCGGGGCAAAGGCAGCCTTGGGCAAATACCAGCTTTGTTTCTGATCTGGAGGGTGTTTGAGCAGTCGCTGGCCACGGCCCTCCCAAGTGAGGGAGTCCCCAAACATTCCCAGTGACCTCTGAAACCCTGGAGGGGAAAACCTCTTTGAAGGACTGTTTGCATCTCTGCCCAGCACTCCAGCTTCGAGGCCTGGCTCCGCTACGTTTTTTGCTCTGTGACCATGGGTGCCCCAAACAGTAGCAAGGGGGTGAAAGGTGAGGGCCTAAGGGTCACCTAGGAGACACTGACTCTAGCTTGGTCTTGCCCCACCCTTGGATAGCTGAGCCTTCTCCAGTAAGGTTAGAGATATCATTCCTTGAGGAGGTGGCCACAAGTTGGGCTTTGAAGGATGTGTAGGAGTTCGTAAAGACAGGCATTTGATAGCAGAAGGCTGGACTTACAGGAAACCAGAGAGCCGTTGGCTGCAGGCCTTATCCACACTGCCCATGTTGTGGAGAGTAACTGTATCCAAGAGAGAAGTACACAAATATTTGAAGAGCAGAATGACCAGGATTACGTAAGGGACTTTATATTAGAGTCAAGAACAGGTAGGGGCAGGACAGACTCCCTGCCCCCAGTTCCTGGCCCTCAAGGTGGGGAGCTCAGGCAGTTGCTGAGTTTCCTTTGGGGCTTGGCAACACCTCAAGTTCTGCACCTTAAAGTTTATAGCAGGTGGTTAGAGGTAAGAACTGAAGCCTTAGGTTTTCTTGACCTTATTATGCTTTTTAACAGCTTTTTTTTTTTTGAAGACAAAGTCTTCCTCTGTCCCCAGGACTAGAGTGTAGTGGTCACATCATAGCTCACTGCAACCTCAAACTCCTGGCCTCAAGCAATCCTCCTGCCTCAGCCTCCCAGATTGCTGGGATTACAGGCATGAGCCACTGTGCCCAGCCAATAGCTTTCTTTTTTTTTTTTTTATTTTTTTTATGCTCAAGAAACTGAAATCTAAAGCCAATAGCTTTCTTGAGATATGATTTGTCTGCTGGAAAATTTGTCCTTTTTAAATATACCTTTCAGTGATTTTTAAAGTGTATTTATAGAATTGTGCAACTATGACCACAATCTAATTTTTTTTTTTTTTTTTTTGAGACAGAGTCTCACTTTATTGCCCAGGCTAGAGTGAGTGCTGTGGTGTCAGCCTAGCTCACAGCAACCTCAAACTCCTGGGCTCAAGCAATCCTCCTGCCTCAGCCTCCCGAGTAGCTGGGACTACAGGCATGCGCCACCATGCCCGGCTAATTTTTTGTATATATATATTAGTTGGCCAATTAATTTCTTTCTATTTATAGTAGAGACGGAGTCTCACTCTTGCTCAGGTTGGTTTCGAACTCCTGAACTCAAACAATCCGCCCCCCTCGGCCTCCCAGAGAGTTAGGATTACAGGCGTGAGCCACCGCACTTGGCCCACAATCTAATTTTGAAGCATTTCCATTACCCTAAAAAAGAAATCTCCTGTCCATTTATGGTGATTCAACCTGTGAAGTGGATTAATAATAGTCCTACCTCTAAAAGTGCCATTTAAATTTTTTATTTTATCTTATTTTATTTAGAGATAGAGTGTTGCTCTGTTGTCCAGGCTGGAGTGCAGTGGCATGATCATAGCTCACCATAACCTCAAACTTCTGGGCTCAATTGATCAATCCTTCTGCCTCAGCCTCCTGGGTTACCTGGGACTACAGGCGCGTACCACAATGCCCAGCTAATTTTTCTATTTTTAGTAGAGAAGGGGTTTTGCTATTGCTCAGGCTGGTCTTGAACTCCTGAGCTCAAATGATCCTCACTCGGCCTCTCAGAGTGCTGGGATTACAGGCATGAGCCACCGCACCTGGCCAAGAAGGGTCTTTTTAAAACAATGTCTAGTGGACTGGGCTGCCAAAATTTATTAGATTTATTTGACTGGACTCCTGATGACAGACGTTGAAGTTCTTTCCCACTTTCCACTCTAAGATGCTGCCGTAAGCCAGACATGGTGGCTCAGGCCTGTAGTCCCTGCACTTTGGGAGGCTGAGGCAGGAGGATCGCTTGAGCCCAGGAGTTCCAGGCTGCAGTGAGCTATGATCCGGCCACTGCACTCCAGCCTGGGCAGCAGAGCAGAGTGAGACCGTGTCTCTGAAAACAAAACAAAACAGAAAGAAAGGGAAGGAAGGAGAGAGAGGAACAAAGGAAAAAATAGAAAAGGAAAGCAAGAAACTGCTGCCATGAATAATGAATTTTTTTTGGTCCCGGTCACAAACACTTGGAACTTTCTCATCAGTTTCCCCAAAGCTCTTGACATTCCTGTCTGTCTAGGTGGCAGGGCGTGTTTGGGGGCCACGGTGAAGTCACAGAGCTTCCGGGCAGGTGTGAGCTGTCTGAGGCCGGCAGTGCGGTCCAGCTCACAGGGACTCACCCCGTTTCCCTGCAGGGTGCCCGGATCAGGTGGAGCTGGCGCCCCTGCCCTCCTGGCAGCCTGTCGGCGAGAACCTCACCCTGCGCTGCCAGGTGGCCGGAGGGGCGCCCCGGGCCAACCTCACCGTGGTGTTTCTCCGTGGGGAGGAGGAGCTGGACCGGCAGCCGGTGGTGGGGGAGCCCGCCGAGGTCGCGGCCACAGTGCTGGTGGCCAGACGCGACCATGGGGCCAATTTCTCCTGCCGCACGGAACTGGATCTGCGGCCTCTAGGACTGGAACTGTTCGAGAACACCTCAGCCCCGCGTCAGCTCCGAGCCTTCGGTGAGGCGCCGGGGGGCCAGCAGGGCGAGGGTGGGGTGCCCGCGGCCGCAGAGTCCTCTGAGAAGGCTGTGACTCCAGCTAAGGGGTGCCTGCGGCCTAGGACAGGGACGGCCGAGTCTCCCGGGAGGAGGGTGGCCCAGGTGGGGAAATGAAAAGGAAACGCCCCAGGAAAGGGCTTCGGGACGTCCGCCCCGTCTGCTCACACCCGCCTCTGTCCCCAGCCCTGCCGCCCACCGGCCCGCGCCTGGACGCGCCCCGGGTCCTGGAGACGGGCACGCGGCGGGCCGCGGTCTGCTCTCTGGACCGGCTGTTCCCAGTCGCAGAGGCCCAGGTTCACCTGGCACTGGGGGACCGGAGGCTGGCCCCCACGATCGCGACCCACGGCGACTCCCTCTCGGCGCAGGCCCTGCTGCGGGCGAAGGCGGGGGAGGAGGGCTCCCGGCAGCTCACGTGCGCGGTGACGTTGGGCAACCGGAGCCGGGAGACTCGCCAGACCGTGACCCTCTACAGTAAGACGGGCAGGGGCGGGGCTTCCTAGGGGCGGGGCTTCCTAGGGGGGGCGGGGCTTCCTGGGGCGGGGCTCACTGTATGCCCCGCCCCCAGGCTTCCCGGCGCCCAACCTGACTCTGAGCGAGCCGGAGGTTTCAGAAGGGACAGAGGTGGTCGTGGAGTGCCAGGCCCAAGCTGAAGCCGTGGTGACGCTCAGTGGGGCTCCAGCGGGGCCACCAGGCCCGCGGGCCCAATTCTTGCTGAACGCCAGCGCTGAGGACAACGGGCGCAGCTTCTCCTGCTCTGCGGCCCTGGAGGTGGCCGGGCAGGTGCTGCAGAAGAACCGGACCCGGGAGCTCCGCGTCCTGTGTGAGTAGGGGTGCAGGACAATGACCCCTGTCCTCCCAGGCCCCGAAGTCCCATACGCTTTTGCCCTTCAAGCCCTGTTCCTTAGGGAGTCCCCTCCCCGGATTCCTACCTAAGTCCTTCAGTCCTAAATGGAGAGAGAGGGGTGTCCCGGTCCCTGACCCCAGTCTGTCATCTTGTCGTGTCTCTTCAGACGGCCCCTGGCTGGACGAGAGGGACTGCCCGGGAAACTGGACGTGGAAAGAAGGCACCAAGCAGACCCTGAGATGCCGGGCGCGGGGGAACCCGCCCCCCGACCTGAACTGTTCCCGGGAAAAGGATGGGGCTTTGCTGCCCATCGGGAACCTGAGCCATGTCACGCGGAGCCTTTCGGGCACCTACGTCTGCCGGGCGGTCAGCAGTCGTGGGCAGCTCACCCGGGAGGTGTTGGTGACCGTGCTCTGTGAGTGTGCCGGTGCGCCGGCTGCGTGGGGCCGTGTGGCGGGGCGGTGAGCCTGGCCCTGTCCTCACCGCCCCTTGTGTCTTCCCGACAGACTCAGACCACCAGAATTTAGTGGCCATCGTGGTGGTGACGATCTTAGTCATCCTGGGCGTTGCGGGGACCGCGGCTTACCTCTATAACCGCCAGCGGAAGATCAAGAAATACAAGCTACAAGAGGCTCAGAAGGCAGCCACCATGAAACTGAACACACCAGCCACGCCACCCTGAGCCCGTCCCAGGACCGGGCCTCCACCTCGGCCCCCCACGTGGTGAACGGAGCGGTGGACAGATGCCTTTCGGCTACATCCACCGCTCCAGCGCGCCGGAGGACAGGACAGCAGCCTTGGTCACCCGCAGGTGGCGTTTGGGGTCATGGCACCTTGGGCCCCTCATACCTGACCTGTGGCCACAGGACCGAGCCAAGAGGAGGGGGCAGGACTCAAGGCACAATTGTGAGGAATATCAAAGTCTAACCCGGCCACAGTGGGAGTGATAAGAGACACCCCCCCAATGTGGGGACACACAGCCGGAAAACACTGAAACTCTCTGCCTGCTGTGTGCACCGAGGCCCCACGGCCCCAAGGAAGACGTGGCCCTGCGCAGACACGCGCAGCATCGAAACACAGATGCCCACACTTCCTCTGACAGATGCCTGCTCCCGAGCCGCTGTTTACTAACTGTCCTCAACTGTCGATAATGCCGTATTTATTCATTTGTGATTTTACCAGCTATTTATTGAGTGCCTTTTTTTGTAGGCTAAGATGGTGGACGAGATGAATATAGGTTCCTGCCTTCATGGAGCTCCCAGCCTAATCTCATTCAGGGTCACCAGGGACAGTTGTACAGGCTGTGCACTGCACAAAAAGATCAATTTCACACTTCACTGGCCAAGCTGCTTTCCCCCAGAAGGGTGATTTTTCTGTCTGGCACAAAGACACTACGTGGACTAGCAATGGTCACATGCTCAGGGACCACCCAATGAGTCCTTACCCACCCCCACCACCCCCCAGCACTGACATGACCTTTGTTGGTCACCTGCCCCCTCCACGTGTCTCTGCCAGTGTTCACAATGGCCATGCCCAAACATGGGTGATCTGAGTCTGCCGGGAAGACACATGGGTGCCTTGGCAGCTGAATCATGGGCTGCCGTGAAACTGTGCCCAACCGTGTGTCTCCTTGTCCAGCCTGTTTTGGTCTCAGTGGAACCAGAATGTTCTGCAGCTCCAAATTCCAGGAGCTACCAGGGCCCTGCAAGCAGTGCGGGGAGGGGCTGAGGCCCTGGAGGACCGTCCCTGCCAACCCTGGGAGCCTCTCGTCTGTGCAAATAAAGCTTTGTCATCCCCCCAGACTTGTGTGGATGGAGGGGAGGTGTCGCGTCCAGCTGGAGCCCTTTCTCACCGGCTATGCAGCAACCCTGTCCTCCCGTTTCCTCCCTCAAGAAAAGGATGTGGGTTCAAGGCCAAACGCTGAGGCTCTGGTCCAAATCTAGGGCTTTTTATGACCTTTCGGGACTCTAGTGAATACTGAAGTCCCATCTCCAGAAAAGGGCCATGCGCTCTGGCTCACGGCGGCGTCTGGAATCCCACTGCGGAGCCAAGGGGAGGGAGTATTTTTTGCAAAGCTCCGGAGCCCTCGAGGGCCTCCCCTCTCTCTCGGGGCGGGGTGGAGGAGGCGGCGCTGGGGGCCTTCTTATCTCGGGAGCCAGCTCCGGCTCTCTGGCGTGGGGCCCCTCAGTCCGGGCTCCCTGCCATGGGGTCTGTGTTCCCCCTGTCGCTGCTGCTTTTGTCAGCGGCCGCGTACTGGGGCAGCGGGACCGTACCGGGGCGCCGGGCTAGGCGGGCGCAAGGTCCCCGGGAAAGCCCTCCCGCGCCGTCGGGGACCTCGGCGTCATTCTGGGTGCGCATAAGCCCGCAGTCGGTGGCCGTGCGGCCGGGGGTCTCGGTGTGGCTCAACTGCAGCCACAGCTGCCCGCTGCCGCCCAACTCCAGCCTCCACACCCAGCTGCGGCGGGGCCCGACGCTCAGCGGCCCGGGTTGGGTATCTTACCAGCTGCTCGACGTGAGGGCCTGGAGCTCCGACGTGCGCTGCTTCGTCACCTGCGCGGGAGAAACGCGCGGGGCCACCGCCAGGATCGCCACCTACAGTGAGGGACAGGGCCCGGCCCGGCTGCGGGAGGGGGAGGGTCGGGAGGAGCGGGGCGGGGTGGACAGTCGGGCTAGGGGGCGCCCGAGGACCGTGCTCAGGGGCTCCCTCTTGCCTTAGAAGCGCCGCACAGCGTCGTGCTGGAGCCTCCCGTCTTAGAGGGTGGCATGTACACTCTGCGCTGTCACGTGACGCGCGTGTTCCCCGTGGGCTTCTTGGTGGTGACCCTGAGGTGCGGCGGCCGGGTCATCTATTCTGAAAGCCTGGAGCGCTTCACTGGCCTGGATCCGGCCAACGTGACGCTGACCCACGCGTTCCCCGCGGGACTCCGCGACTTCGGGCAGCCCGTGACCTGCCTCGCGTGCCTCAGTCTCGACGGGCTGGTGGTCGGCAGCAGCTCGGCACCCATTACGCTGACGCTCGGTGAGGCCCCCTTGCAATCCTCGGGACTTGGGGACCTGGTGGGGGCACGGGGGGGGGAGGGGCGGGGAGACAGGGTTATGTATGACCCCAGGAGGGGACACAGACAGACCAAGCGTGAGCTCCACGCGAGTCATCAGACCTCCACGTGCTCCGTCCCTAACTGTCACCTCCTGCTCCCAGCTTGGAGCCCCGCGTCCGAAGCCTTGGCCTTCACTTCCGTCGCAGTCCTTGTGGTCATCCTTGTCGCCGTGGGGGCTGCCTACCTGCGCAGGTGCCTAGCGATGCGGTCTCGGCGTAGAGGGGGAGTTCTGTGCCGGCTGAGCGGGGGAAAAGAAGAATCTGGAACGATGCGGGGAACCCTCCCGGATCAATAAAGCCTTCCTCAGCCAGCCTTTGTCTCGAGGCCTCGGGCTCCCCATTGCTGCATCTCCTGGGGGGAAGTGTCTCCTGTTTAGGCCCCGCCGAAGTCACTTTCTCCAAGTTCCTTGTCTCCCTGAGGGCACCTGAGGTTTTCTCACTCAGGTCCCAAGTGGGGTCCGGGACGCCCGCTCCCGCACTCCCAGACGGTGTAGGGAAAACCTCTCCTGCTGGCATTATTCTGGCGGTGTAGACGGGCTAAGCAAGGACCCGGGAGGACCAGGGGCGGGAAGGGGCGAGGGGGCGGGTTCATGGTATGGCTTTTTCTGATTGGCTCTGCCGCTACCACGCAGCAGCTCTGATTGGTTGCTAAGTTTCCCGGCCTAACCCCACCTCCAGGTAAGACCTGGTGCTTCCCGGGAGATCAACCCGACCGTGCGGGTAGCCAGAGCTCACCATTAACGCCGGGGGTCAGGCCACACACGGGGGTCACATGGACATCTGGAGGGACTTGGATTCGCAGAAGAGGTGTCCATATAGTGACAGCGGGGAGGGGTAATCAGTCCACACGGAATGCCACAGACTTGCGTCCTGGCAATGTCCTTGTAGTTACCAGACCAGGTGGGCGGGTGCGGCGAGTGTCACAGCCCGGGGGCCTGAATGCGGGGTTGAAAGCGTCGCAGGCGGTCTTTCGGTCTCGCTCCGAGGCAGAATCCGGGCCCACACTGGGTGCCTAGCAGAGCCGGCGCGATCCAGGGCCCCGCCCGCCGGCGCGGAAGGCGGATTCGCGCTCACACACGCCGAGTAGACACGTGCCCGCTGCACGCTGGGTAAATACAGACCCGGAGCTGAGCCGATTCTGATTTGGACGCCCGCGAACGCTGCGCGCACGCACCCGTGTCCCCAACTCGCTGGCACTCTCGTTCCGCCCCCTCCGTCGCGTGCTGGGTGAGAGGGAGGGGGATTCGGGGTGTGGCTCCGCGGGGTCAAAAGGAGAAGCATCTCAGTGAGGGTGGCATCCTCACGCTCGCCGCTAGAACTGTCCTTTCTCCATCCGGTGCTTCCCAAACCTCTCCAAGCCCCAAATCAATCCCTGCCCTAAGGGGCGCTGGTAGGAGGAGCTAACGACGGGGGCGGAGCTCGGGATCCGGCTCATTATCATAGCATCCAAACCCGGGCTGGGGAGGGGGTTTGGGAAGGGCAACCCAGCATCCCCCGACCTCCGAGTCGCCGCTGAGGATGACGCGGGAGAGCACGGCCGCCCCCAGAAGGCTCCGGGCGATCAGGCCGGCCGCCGCGTAGACCCTGGGGGTCGCTCGCTCCTGCCAGCCTGCCTTCGCCAAGGCCAGGAGCTCAGCGCACGCTCGCCTGCCACCCCCCCGCCGCCTCTGCCGCCGCCCCCTCCTTGGAAACCAAGTTACCAACGTTAAACCAATCCCCGAGCGCAACTCTGCCTCCCCCACACCCCACCCGCCGCGCCGCGCCGCGCCGTCCTCGAGCCCAGCTCCTCGCTCGCGCTCCCCTCGCCTCCTGCGCTTCCCCCGCGGCGGCGATGCCAGGGCCTTCGCCAGGGCTGCGCCGGGCGCTCCTCGGCCTCTGGGCTGCCCTGGGCCTGGGGCTCCTCGGCCTCTCAGGTAAGAGCCCGCCCCGGCTCGGGATGGACAGGGCGGGGGCGGAGTTGCCGACCCGGGAAGCGGCCCTGTGCCCCTCCCGGCTCCGCCCTCGCCTCGCTCCCACGCTCTGTCCCCACCTCGAGCCGGGTCCCCTTCCGTCTCCCCCGCGCCCCCAACACACGCCGAGACCCAGCTTCCTGACTCCTCGCTCGCCCCTACCCCCTCGGAGACCCTGGGCGTTCTTCCGCGCCCAACCCTGCGCCCTGGAGACCCCGTGGCTCTCGTGTCCCCTCCCCGGGCACCTCCTCCCGCTCTGCTGTGCACCATGGTCCACGGACTGGCATCTTCCCCACTCGCGGTCCGCGAAGACTCCATCTCTCCAACTACCGTGACTCAGAGGCGCTGCTCCCGCTCCACCGGGAGCCCTGGCAACCGGCGACCCCGGCTGTTCCCGCGGTTCCTTCCTCCAGCCCAGCCCCTCGTCCTCTTTCCGTGTTCCCCACCCAGGTTCAGGGTCCTTCCTTATCCTTCACCCAGTTTCAAATCTCCTCTGCCCTCCCCCACCCTCACTCTCCTCCTCTCCCCGCAATGTGCCAGACCCGAGAACCCGTTGGTTCCCCCTCCCCCACCCGGGGTCCCCTTCTCCTGGCATTGCTGTGCGCATCGAAGACCCCATCTTTCCTCTCGTCTCCCCCTTCCCTCGTGCTTTCCCACCGCTTCATCGGCGCCTTGGAGACCAGGGCTCTCTGCTGCCACGTCCCAGAGACACCCTGGAGGTTTAGACTCTGGGAGCGCGCGCCTCCAAACCCGAGGCCTGGGCAGGACGCGGGACTCCTGGGTTCTTTCCTGGCTGCGGCCTCCGCTTGTTCCCCGGGAACCCTTGACTCGGCGCAGGGGCGCTAAGATCTCAGGGGGCTGGCTCCCCAGGCTGAGCCCGCGTTTCCCTGGGCAGCGGTCGCGCAGGAGCCCTTCTGGGCGGACCTGCAGCCCCGCGTGGCGCTGGTGGAGCGCGGGGGCTCGCTGTGGCTGAATTGCAGCACTAACTGCCCTCGGCCGGAACGCGGTGGCCTGGAGACCTCGCTGCGCCGAAACGGGACCCAGAGGGGTTTGCGCTGGCTGGCGCGGCAGCTGGTGGACATCCGCGAGCCGGAGACCCAGCCCGTCTGCTTCTTCCGCTGCGCGCGGCGCACACTACAGGCGCGTGGGCTCATTCGCACTTTCCGTGAGTCTGGGCGGCCGCGCGCGTACTCCACTACCGTCCCTCCCTTCCAGGCCCCGCCCCTTGGGCCCCGGGTCCTCCCCGTCAGGCCCCGCCCTCTGGATCTCCGAGCCCTGCCGTCTGGGACCAGGCTTCCCTGAGTTCCACGCCAAGTCCCCCTAAGCCTCGGCGCCCCAAGAGCCGCGGTTCCTCCCTTGCAGAGCGGCCGGATCGCGTAGAGCTGGTGCCACTGCCTGCGTGGCAGCCCGTGGGCGAGAACTTCACCCTGAGCTGCAGGGTCCCCGGCGCCGGGCCCCGTGGGAGCCTCACGCTGACCTTGCTGCGGGGCACCCAAGAGCTGATCCGCCGCAGCTTCGCCGGCGAGCCGCCCCGAGCGCGGGGCGCGGTGCTCACAGCCACCGTGCTGGCTCGGAGGGAGGACCACGGGGCCAATTTCTCGTGCCGCGCGGAGCTGGACCTGCGGCCACACGGCCTGGGGCTGTTTGAAAACAGCTCGGCCCCCAGAGAGCTCCGAACCTTTTGTGAGTAGGTGTAGGGGGGACATGGGGACCAAGTGGAGTCGGGCGGGTTTTTAAAAAGTTTCGAGACAGGTACATCCGAACGCTAATCCTTCAACACTCACCGACTGTTTCCCTCTCTGTGCCTTGAGGGTGACAATAACGTACAATAGTGCATATAAAGTGCTTAGTACGTATTGAGTGCTCAGCACAGAACTTCGCTCAAGCTCGGTGCTTCGACCCCCTAGCCCTGTCCCCGGAGCCCCCGCGCCTCGCTGCTCCCCGGCTCTTGGAAGCAGGTTCTGAAAAGCCGGTGACCTGCGCCCTGGACGGACTCTTTCCGGCCTCAGAGGCCAGGGTATACCTCGCGCTGGGGGACCAGAGGCTGAGTCCCGATGTCACCCTGGAGGGAGACGCACTCGTGGCCACTGCCACAGCCACAGCTAGCGCCGAGCAGGAGGGTGCCAAGCAGCTGGTCTGCAGTGTGACCCTCGGGGGCGAAAGCCGCGAGACCCGGGAGAACCTGACCATTTACAGTAAGAAGGTGGGGGGGAGGGGGCTGGGGGGGGAGACAACTGTGGCTCGGGATGGGGCCAGAGGAACGCGAAGGCGGGGCGAAGAGTGGGCGGGGACTCAGTTCCGGAGCAGGCGTGGCCCGAGAGCCCCAGAGGGGCGGGGCAGACGGAGCACGGAGACCGAGCAGCTGGAGAGGCGGAGCCCGGGAGGCGGGGCGTGATGCTCGGTTAGGGCAAATAAGGGGCGGGCCTTGACCGTCGGGAGGGGCGTGGTCCGCGGACCCCAGCCAGTGCTCCGCCTCCAGGCTTCCCCGAGCCCCTCCTGACCCTGAGCGAGACCAGCGTCCCCGAGGGGAAGATGGTGACAGTAACCTGCGCAGCCGGAGCCCAAGCCCTGGTCACACTGGAGGGAATTCCAGCCGCGGTCCCGGGGCAGCCTGCCCAGCTACAGCTAAATGCCACCGACGACGACGACAGACGCGGATTCTTCTGCGCCGCCACGCTCGAGGTGGACGGCGAGACCCTGAGCAAGAACAGGAGCGCGGAGCTCCGCGTCCTATGTGAGTTGGTGTTAGCCCCTCGCCCCGCTCCTCGTGACCTCCAAGGACCTGCACGGTCCCTGGCCGTGTCGTCGAGGCAGGGCCATTCCTCACCGTCCACGTCTAGCCTCTCTGTATCCCACGCCCCTGCCCGCAGACGCCCCTCGGCTGGATGATTCGGACTGTCCCAGGAGCTGGACGTGGCCCGAGGGCCCGGAACAGACGCTGCGCTGCGAGGCCCGCGGAAACCCGGCGCCCTCGGTGCACTGCGTGCGGCGAGACGGCGGCGCCGTGCTGGCGTTGGGGCTGCTGGGTCCTGTCACTCGCGCGCTCGCCGGCAGTTACCGCTGCACAGCGGCCAATGTCCAGGGCCAGGCGGTCAAGGACGTGATGCTGACGGTGGAATGTGAGCGGGGGTGTGCAGGGACCAACTTCGTCTGGTTGAGGGTCTGGGAGTGGCTGGCCTAGGGTATGAGACGCGCCTTTGGGCGGGATTTTGGGAAAGGGAAGGGATTGGTTACTGGGATTGGGAAACGATGTTGGCGAAGGATGGGGAGGAAAGAATGGGTGTGTCCGTAGGCTGGGGCGTGGCGCTTCGGCAGAGTCTTAGAAAGGTGGGCGGTCCAGGAAGTCTAACAATTCTTAGTCTGAGAACTGAGGAAGGGCTTTCGGGGCTCATGGATCCCCAAAACAGATGCATGACTACAGTAGCGCCACGCCCCCTGGGATCGGAGCCCCTGTGTAGACCAAAGCCTTCCCAACCCTTTGTAGCAGTCTGGGACACGAAAGTGGGTCTAGGGACATTAGACTTGTCCCCCAAACCCCAAAGCTAACAGAACACATTCCACTCTCCAGACGCGCCGGCGCTGGACAGCGTGGGCTGCCCCGAGCGCATTACTTGGCTGGAGGGGACAGAGGCCTCGCTGGTGTGTGTGGCGCACGGGGTCCCGCCGCCCAGCGTGAGCTGCGTGCGCTCTGGGGAGGCGGGGGCCGTCATGGAGGGGCTGCTGCGAGTGGCCCGGGAGCACGCGGGCACTTACCGCTGTGAAGCCACCAATGCCCGAGGCTCTGCCGCCAAAAATGTGATTGTTACGGTGGAATGTGAGTAGTGGCAGCACAAGGTCTGTCGGGACAACCCTGGCTGGACTTCCTGTCCCGTGTGTGAACTGCTCCAATCCTGCTCCCCAGATGGCCCCAGTTTTGAGGAGCTGAGCTGCCCCAGCAACTGGACGTGGGTGGAAGGAACCGGTCGACTGTTTCCCTGTGAGGTCGATGGCAAGCCAGAGCCCAGCGTGCAGTGCGTCGGCTCTGGGGGCGCCACTGAGGGGGTGCTGCTGCCGCTGGCACCCCCAGACCCTAGTCCCAGAGCCCCCGGCACCCCTGGCGATCTGGCCCCCGGTATCTACGTTTGCAACGCCACCAACCGGCACGGCTCCATGGTCAAAACCGTCGTCGTGAGCGCGGAGTGTGAGCGGGGCCGGGCGGGTGGGGTGCAGGGGTGCCCTCGGTCCCGGCCCCTCCCTCACGCCCCCATGTCTGCTTTGCAGCGCCACCGCAGATGGATGAGTCCACCTGCCCCAGTCACCAGACCTGGCTGGAGGGGGCTGAGGCTGCTGCGCTGGCCTGCAGTGCCCGGGGTCTCCCCTCCCCCGGAGTGCGCTGCTCCCGGGAGGGCGTGCCCTGGCCCGAGCGGCAGCGCGTGTCCCGAGGTGACGCGGGCACCTACAGCTGCGTGGCCACCAATGCGCACGGCACAGACTCCCGGATGGTCACCGTGGGCGTGGAATGTGAGTGAAGGCAGCATCGGATGGAAGGGACACAGTCTCTGGAAAAATGACTTGCAGGGGTGGCAGAGCCCATGAGAGTTCAGGGCGTCTGTCCCAGTCCCATTCTGGGAGACAGGGAATCCCGACCTAAACTGTGGATAATGAAAAGTTTAGGCAACAGGACCGGCGTCCCTCTCAAATCCTGGATCAGCAGGACACCGGCCCGGGACTCCACCTCCTCCCATTCAACGAAGGGCGCCGAACTTTAGTCCCGACAGTAGCCCGTGGTGGGGGCAGGGGGCTCGCCTGCCCACCGGAGGAGGGGTGGTCACAGCCCTCTGTGGTGGCTGGACGAGGGCACCTGGTCAGCCCTGGGCCGGCGCTAAGCCCCACCTCACCCCCTGTCCCCCTGCAGACCGGCCGGTGGTGGCAGAGCTGGCCGCCTCGCCTCCGGGGGGCGTGCGGCCAGGCGGGAACTTCACCTTGACCTGCCGCGCGGAGGCGTGGCCTCCAGCCCAGATCAGCTGGCGCGCGCCCCCGGGGGCCCTCAACCTCGGGCTGTCGAGCAACAACAGCACGCTGAGCGTGGCGGGTGCCATGGGAAGCCACGGCGGCGAGTACGAGTGCGCAGCCACCAACGCGCACGGGCGCCACGCGCGGCGCATTACGGTGCGCGTGGCCGGTAAGTGGCAGCTGGGGGCGGGGCGAAGGACCTGCAGGGGGGCGTGGCCTGGGTTTTGGGCGCCTGGGCTTCGGGCCCCTGACGTCGTCTCTGCCTCCCTGTAAGTCCCCGTAGGTGAGACCAGAGCGGACCAGAGTAGAAATCAAGGGCACCTGACCGGGTGGCAGGTTGGGGGTGGGAGGTAGAATTCCAGGGGAGGGGACCTTTCAGGGTTGTCACTGCTGTGGGGAGGGACTTAATAATTTGGGGTGGGTTGTGCGTGGTGGAGACTGGACCCAACTTACTCTCCACTGTGTCGCTGGGGGGAGGAGGGGTTGGAGGGCCACCAAGAGCAGAAGACAGTAGGGGCGACTATGTCTCCTCCTCCCACTTCCTGTAGCTTCTAGAGCTGGAGTCTTTCTTGGGTAGAGAGACTCTGACCTGATCCTGCCAACCCTTTTGAGGGTGGGGAGAATTAATTTGTCACCAAGGGGCTGGCTGGTCACCGGCTTATGTCCCCATGGGGCTGACGTGCGGTGTAAATTAGGTCTGGGGTGGCCCAGCGCTGGGAGTGGCCTTATTAAATGGGGTCTCTCCTTTCTCCCAAGGCCAGATTGTGAGTTCCTTGGGGCGTAAGGACTGACCTCGTGCCTGTGGGGAGGGGACAGCCGTGGCAGGGATTGGGGGAGCCCCCCAAGCTTGGCCACCCTCCGTGAGGGTCTCCACCCCTCAGGTCCGTGGCTGTGGGTCGCCCTGGGCAGCGCGGCGGGGGGCGCGGCGCTGCTGGCCGCGGGGGCCGGCCTGGCCTTCTACGTGCAGTCCACCGCCTGCAAGAAGGGCGAGTACAACGTGCAGGAGGCCGAGAGCTCGGGCGAGGCCGTGTGTCTCAACGGCGCGGGCGGCGGCGCCGGCGGGGGCGCGGGCGCGGAAGGTGGACCGGAGGCGGGGGACACAGCTGAGTCCCCTGCCGGGGGCGAGGTCTTCGCCATCCAGCTGACCTCCACGTGAGCCCGGTCCCCTCTCCCCGCGGGCCGGGGGACGCCCCCCCAGATGCGCACAGGGGGGCTTGTTTATTGGTCTATTTATGTATTTATTTATTCATGTATTTATTTATTCAACTCCAGGGGCGGCAACCCCATTTTCTACCCATCTCCCCCATAAAGTTTTTATAAAGGACTCTGGGTCTCTGCTTCTGTGTCTGCCGAGTGAAACAAGCCCAAGATTCAAATCCCGACTTTGCCATGCGTGCAAAAAACTTTCTTTACAATTTGGGAGCCTGCTGTGCCTCAGACACCATCCAAGGCATCTTTTCGAGGTGTGACCTGGAGCTTGTCCTCCATTCCTGCCCTGTTTCCTGCTCTTATGAGCCCTTGGGCAGGGGTGGGGACCTTACTCCTTCCTTCTCCTCCCAGCGGCTTATCTCTTCCGCCCAGCACTGCCCTCTGCTCCGGGTCACTCTGGGAGGTGGGAGCTAGGTGCTTCCCCGGGCCTGGTTACTTACCGGCAGGGCCAAAGGCAAGGCCACCTTGCCAGGATGGGCGGCCCCCTTCCGCCTCGCCCCTGCGCTGAGACCTCACCAGCTATGAGTGTCAGCCCTCAGGATGTCTCTCCTGCTGAAGGGTGCGCCCCTGCCCCAGCCCTCCATGCCTCCTCCATCCTGTGTGCACCCACAGTGCCTCAGTTTACCCCCAAGTGCCTTTTCACTGGGCGCATCATGACTCAGAACAGACACACGCGATCGGAGCTGCAACCCCCGCTGCGTATCACTATCACCCGTGCGCTCACCCCCAACGGCATAAGGTGGGACAGCTGGGCCTCCTCCCCGCAGCCTCAGAAGCAGGAACACGGGGCCCTGGAACAGGAAGCCACCCTGGGCCGCCGAGCGCCATTGGCTGCCCCGTGCAAACACTGCATGAGCAAGGATGAGACGAGGAGGAAACAGCACGAGACGGCAAGCCAGTGCCGGGGGCCGCGTGCCAGGTACAAAAGGCACAGCGAGGAGCAGCCCCTGTCACCCCCTTAGTCATCTCTCTCCACTCCCACTGGTCTCTTCGAGGTTTCTGGAAGCCCACAGAACCCTGCTTGCTACGGGGCCTTTGCTCTCGCTCTTCCTTCTGCCTGGGTGTCTTCAGCTCCAATAGTCCCAAGCCGGTCCCTAACCCTGCGGTCTGTGCAAGTGTCACCCCCTTGGGGAAGCCTTCACTGAGCCCCATAGCTAAGGTAGCCCCCAACTTTGTATTTTTTTGAGACAGGGTCTCCCTCTGTCTGTCACCCAGGCTGGAGTGCAGTGTGGCACAATCATAGCTCACTGCAGCCTCGAACTCCTGGGCTCCAGCCATCCTCCTGCCTCAGCCTCCCGAGTAGCTGGGACTACAGGCGTGTGGACTAGAGCCACCACACCTGCCTAATTTTTCTATTTTTTTTTTTTTTTTTGTAGAGATGGGGTTACCGTCTTGCTCAGGCTGGGGATTATAACTTAAGATCTGATTAGACGTTTAATTGAATATTTTACTGTCTCCCTAGAGCACTGGCCACCCTGAAGCAGGGATTTGTGTTCCAGTCCCTGCTGAGTGTCCCCATCGGAGCTTGGCACACCTTGTGGCTCAACAAATGTTGAATTAATAGGTAAAAGCATGGCCGGGCGCAGTGGCTCACGCCTGTAATTCCTAGCACTCTGGGAGGCCAAGGCGGATGGATTGCTCGAGGTCAGGAGTTCAAAACCAGCCTGAGCGAGACCCCGTCTCTACTAAAAATAGAAAGAAATTAATTGACTAACTAAAAATATATATAGAAAAAATAAGCCGGGCATGGTGGCGCATGCCTGTAGTCCCAGCTACTCGGGAGGCTGAGGCAGAGGATCCTTGAGCCCAGGAGTTTGAGGTTGCTGTGAGCTAGGCTGATGCCACGGCACTCACTCTAGCCTGGGCAACAAAGTGAGATGCTATCTCCAAAAAAAAAAAAAAAAATAGGTAAAAGCAGCCTTGAGTTTGCAGTCACGCAGTTTGAGACCTTCATGTGTTCAAGGTATATCACCAAGAATTTCTCTACGCGGGACACTGGGGAGCCCTTTCATGCACACAGATGTGGTGACTCAGGCCTGAGAAGTCACTGTCTAGTGGGGCAGATGGGCCAGACCAAGAATTGAAAATCTGTAGTGTCTGGCGGGCAGTGGTGGCCTTCTGCCTGTGTCTTTTCAGCTACTCAGGAGCTGAGGCAAGAGGATTGCTGGAGCCAGGAGTTTGAGGATCAGCCTGGGCAAACAATAGTGAGCGCCCTATCTCTTAAAAAAAAAAAAAAAGGAAAAGAAAATTCTAGTAGGTTCTAAGAAGGTGAAGACCAGCAAGGAGCTGGACAAGTATGTGCTCTGATTGGGTGAGAGCTTGTCTATTTTGAGACTTGGGTTAGGCAAGAAGGCTCTTATTTTTTATTATTTTTTTGAGACAATAGAGTCTCACTTTGTTGCCCAGCTATGAGGAGTGCTGTGCCGTCAGCCTAGCTCACAGTACAACTTCAAACTCCTGGCTGCAGTGATGCTCTCTGGCCTCCAGCCTCCGTATAGTTGGGACATACAGGCATGCGCCACATGCCCGGCTAATTTTTTCTTATATATTATTTAGTTGGCCCAATTTAGTTGGCATTATTCATTCATTATAGTAGAGACGGTCTGCTCTTGCTCAGGCTGGTTTCGAACTCCTGACCTCGAGCAATCTGCCTGTCTCGGCCTCCCAGAGTGCTAGGATTACAGGCGTGAGCCATCGCGCCTGGCCAAGGAAGGCTTCTTTGAACAGGTGATGGGGCTGAACCTCTCCAAGTGACAAGAATGTGGCAGCCCCAGGGAGATGTGGAGGGAGGGTGTTCCAGGGGAGAACAGGTGAGACCAAATGATTCAGGGATCTGACAACTGGAAGATCTAGACCCCAGCCCTGTTCCTACAGGGCCACCCAGGAGGGACAAGGAGGGTCTCACTGGCCTTGTGCTCATAGCAGGGACAATCCCACCCTGTTTCATCCCAGCCATTCTGGACTCTCCCTTGGAGTGAGCGCTGGGGACCCGGGTGGCCCACTTGCCCAGGGCCAGCCTCTCATACGTAGCTTTTGGCTTCAGGCTTCGGGGAGAGGGGACATCCTTTGGCTGGGTTAGAGAGATCTGGAAAGCAGCCAGGGGACACGGCAGGGCTGGCATGTGTAAGGACTCAGACAGGGTGACAGGCTGGGGTGTAGCTGACTGATGAAGGGCCCCCTGGGGTGTGTACCTCTGTTATGCATGTGTGTCATCTACATGTTTCGTGTGTCAGTTGACATGTATCTGTCAATGCTTGTATGTGTCAACGCTTGTGGCTTTTGGTCTTGTGAGTGATCTGTGTTTGTCTCCACGTGTGTCTGTGGATATGTGTGTCCATTAGCATGCATGCCTGTCGGCACACACGTGTCTGTCTTATGTGTCTTTCTATGTGTGCTGTCTCCGTGTGTGGTGGCTGTTTACCCGGATGGGACATTGTGGCGAGTGTGGCTAATTCTGTGTGTCAGACTACACGACTTGTACAGTGTCATGTGCAAGTGTCGTTGTACATACACATATGTGTGTACATTGTACATGTACATGTGTACATTGCACTTGTACACATGACTGTGTCCCTGCATGTGTCCGTGCACGCCCCTCGCAGCAATTCGAAAACACCCGCCCCACTGTCCCAGGCTGTCAGACGGTCACACGAGGGGGGATCCCCAAATCACACCGCTCTGTCTCTCTGAGTAGCTGTTTTATTGTTCTTGCGAGTAACAATAGACCCGTCACAACCAACCGCGTTTCCTGAGCGGGACTGGAGAAGGGACTCAGCAGGGGAACAGGGGACCCCCTGAGACAGGCCCTGGGGCCAGGGTCTTTGCCCTGGGAATCCCTGAATAGGGACACAGGGCAGGCTGGCTCTTAATCCACTCGTCCTAGGAGAGCTTCTGTCCATTCTCCCCCTGGGGAAACTGAGGCAGAACTGGCTCACAGCTTTTTTTTTTTTTTTTGCTCCAGATGAGGAATCAGTGAAGGCTCAGGGCTTAATCTGCCTGAGCTGGGCTTTGGTGGGGGTCCAGGGCCACCCCGCATCTGCCGCACAACCTCCCGGGCTGGACGCTCTTCCTGGGCACCAGCCAGCAGCCAGAGCAGCGGATGCCGTACTTCTTGTACCTGGGGTGGGGTGGGGGTACAAGAAACCACCCTTCAGGACGCAGCGGGGGCCCAGAAACCGCCGCTAGGAAATCACTTTCCCCAAGAGCTGCATGTTGATGGACTGAGTTGGGGACCCCCCCCCCCCGTCCCGATTCCCTCCTGCATTCTGAGCACCTGATACCGCAGGCGTTGCAGAGAGGGGTCCCATCTTCCGCATCTCTCCAGAGTGGAGTCGTCTGGGTCCTGCAGGAGGCACAGCACCGGGGCCCTGAAGGGTCGGGTGGCAAAGGGCAGGGGTCAGAGGCCAAGCATGTGAGCCAGAAGGGCTGGTATCTTGTGGGGGGTCTGTGTGAAGGCCCCACCTGGCTCTGGGCCAGCCCTGGGGTGTCGCCAGATCTGAGAGAGAGTGGTAGCCAGGAAGGGAGACAGATGGCACTGCTCGGCAGGGGAGGAAGCTGGGGGTGGGGTGACTCAGCCCGAGTGCCGGGGGACACTGCGACTCCCCCTGGAAGGGTCTAAATGGGGAAGCGGGATGGGGAAGGGGGGCAGGGAGGAAGACAGGGAAGATGGGAAATTGGCACCCCCCACACATATTTCTAGGTGTCAAGTCTTCAGGACTCACCCAGGGCCTCGCTGCCTGCAGGGTGGGCCTCCAGACCCCCGGAGGGGGGCCCCTGAGAACGGCTGTTACAGACCAAGCTAGGGGGTAGACAAGGCGTTAGCATTAGGGGGTCTGTATCTTGTCCCCGACAGCACCCCCAAAATGCAGATTTACTGTCAAGACATCAGGCACCTCCGGAGGAAGAGTCTGATGCTGAAAGGCCTGGCTTTGCCCCTCATTCATAACAACAACAACAATAATAATAATTGATCTTATTTTAACAAGTAGTAAGCCTGGGGCCAGCCTTGCCAGGTTCAAATCCCAGTTGTCAGCCAGCACCGGTGGCTCATGCCGGTAATCCCAGCACTTTGGGAGGCTGAGCGGGGGAGGATCACTTCAGGCCAGGAGTTTGAGA